ATTGTCCTCCTAAGTTCATTGCTTCTGTCATATTTGTGACTTGCTAAGTGCAGAAACGTAACATGATTAGGGTGGTGTGTAAAGTACTCTTTCCGGTCGTGTTTCTCAGAATATGTAGTATCCAAGAAAAAACATAAGCAAAAAACAACATCACTATTCTGTACTCATCCCAGAACATTTTAGTGGTACCATCATTTTCTAAGCATTTGTTTTGCGGTGACTTAACCAATTGGTTTAACAAGCGTTTAATACTGGATTACTCTTTATTTCCTCAGATGGGGTAATACCTAAGAAACACCTGCTTTCTTCCCATCCCCACAAGTCTATACATAGACGAAATCTTCATCACACGGTAGCCGCATCAACGTCTATAGGGAGATCCATGAATGGATTGCACATAATAGTAAGTAGTAATAGCGAGCAGATTTTCTGCTAAATGACCCCACTGCCTCCTTCCACTTCGACGACTCGTGAATGCTAGCTTTGGAGGGAGTATCGTTTCTGTGCAAGATTGATGAGGTTGACTTCTTACAAAATTGACTTCATCTATCTTTTATCCCTTCAGTTCACCGACGCTAACATGCATGAGTGGATTCAACAAAATGTCGACAAAAGTGGCTACAGGAAGCCTACACCAGTTCAGGTAATTTTTTAATGATTATTAGATACAATACAAAATCGTCATGGCAAGATTGTGCTTGTGCTTCTTTTTATATCCTCACATGTGCTCAACATGTCATTGGTGCTTTTAACCATACCGCATTTCAAAATGTTCTAAAAAAGACCCGAATGATGCTAGAGCCTGCCATCTGCATCTCTCGTTCGTTAGGTCGTTAGATTTATTGGTGTGTCACAGAGCAATGGAAAGGAAAATGCGTTGAGCAAACGATAGTTATTATATCCCTTGATTACAGAAATATTCACTTCCCACACTATTGGGCAATCGTGACCTCATGTCTTGTGCTCAGACTGGATCAGGAAAGACGGCTGCATTTCTATTGCCGATCATTCACCATATTCTGGTTAACGGCCCCGAAGCAATCCGTCCGGTATCGTTACATTTGATTCGCTTCGTTGTAGTTGAAATTATATGGTATTTTCCAGTCCATGATGTCAAGCTCAGGTCGCCGCACATTCTATCCTGCGGCTCTTGTTCTCGCACCAACAAGAGAATTGGCTATCCAGATACACAAGGTTTGATAATGGCATTGTTTGCGTTCAGCTGGCATGAGAGGTTTTCTATTTAGGAAGCGGCGAAGTTCAGCTATCGCACCAATATCATCACCGCTATATTATATGGTGGTCGTGAGAATTACCGTGAGCAGATTAATCGCTTACGTGGAGGTTGCCATATCTTGATTGCCACGCCTGGACGACTTATTGATATCCTAGACCAGGTTTGGTTGCTTGAGATAGCCTTACTTTTGTTATTTGCCCATCCATCTTGATCTGATACACCTATCGAAGTGCCTTTGTTTCAGGGTTACATTGGTCTGGCAGGTTGTCGATACTTAGTACTGGATGAGGCTGATCGCATGCTGGATATGGGTTTTGAACCACAAATTCGAAAAATTGTTGGTCAAGGCATGCCCCCAAAATCAGAGCGAATTACAGCAATGTTCAGCGCGACATTCCCGAAACAAATTCAGGTATGCGCACCTTGTTTATTTGTAACTGATCGAGTTGAGGAGTTGAACTGACGGACTTGGTTGCAGACACTAGCGCAAGATTTCCTCAAGCCGAATTATGTGTTTTTGGCTGTTGGACGAGTTGGATCAACGTCTGAGAATATCGATCAACAGATATTGTTGGTAGAGGAGTTTGATAAACGGAAGATGCTCATGAACATTTTAGCGAGAGAAGGTAGATTGATCAATTTTGTTCGACTGAATCAATTATCTGCGTTATTGCTTCTTTTATTATCCTACAACGGTTGTTTCAGAGAATGCTTCACTTGTTTTGGTGTTTGTTGAAACAAAGCGAGGAGCGAATGATCTGGCCAATATACTGCAGCGGCAGCAAATAAAGTACTGTAGTTTTGATATTTTTCCTTGGTGTTTTCTTATTGCTCATATTTCAGTGCTGTGGCCATTCATGGAGACTTGAAGCAGTTTGAACGGGAACGCAATCTGGAGCTATTCAGGAACGGTTCTAATCCAGTTCTCGTAGCAACAGCTGTACGTGTAAAAGTTATCCATCTTTCTTGTATTTTCTGTGTTGGGCTAGTCCAATAATGAGAACAGTACA